TCCCAAAAAAAATTTTCCACCTTATCTAAATAGGTTCAAATATATGCTTCAATGTAAACACTTGATCTACACATCCCCTACCCACTCTGAAACCTCCTTGCTCATCCGCAATCCTACATTCTGTCTTCCCTCAAATTCTTTCAATTATAACCCTACCGTACACTTTTCCTGGTATACTCAGTAAACTTATTCCTCTATAATTTTCACAATCTCTTTTGTCCCCTTTCCCTTTATATAAGGGACTATACATGCTCTCCGCCATCCCTAGGTACCTACCCCTCTTTCATACATTTATTAAACAAAAGTACCAACCACTCCAACACTATATCCCCCCTGCTTTTAACATTTCTGTCATGATCCCATCAGTTCCAGCTGCTTTACCCCCTTATTCTACGTAATGCCTCACGTACCTCCACCACACTTACATTCTGCTCTTCTTCACTCCTAAAAGATGGTATACCTCCCTGGCCAGTGCATGAAATTACCGCCTCCCTTTCTTCCTCAACATTTAAAAGTTCCTCAAAATATTCTCGCCATCTACCTAATACCCTCCCTCCCCATCTACTAACTCCCCTACTCTGTTTTTAACTGACAAATCCATACTTTCCCTAGGCTTTATTAACTTGTTTAACTCACTCCAAATTTTTTTCTTATTTTCATTAAAATTTCTTGACAGTGCCTCTCCCACTCTATCATCTGCTCTCCTTTTGCACTCTCTCACCACTCTCTTCACCTTTCTTTTACTCTCCATATAATCTGCTCTTCTCATAACACTTCTGCTTTGTAAAAACCTCTCATAAGCTACCTTTTTCTCTTTTATCACACCCTTTACTTCATCATATTTACATATTTGGACAGTGTCTGTCTCAGTGCTGGTTCACCGCTGTCTACATGCAGCTGCTGCTGGCCATGATCCTCCTGCTGCTGCTGCTGCTGCTGTTGCCTATCTCCTGTAGGAAGACAGCAGGTGAGAGAGAAAGAAAGAGTGAATATGATAATGATATACAATACCGACAAGCTGATAAGTAAGACACACGTGCAACAGTTAAGTAACTTTATTCCGAAACGTTTCGCCTACACAGTAGGCTTCTTCAGTGTAATACGGAGGAGGCAGTAGAGATGCAAAGACGATGTTATCAGTCCATCACCCTAGAAGATGAAGTTTTGAGGTGGTCAGTCCCTCAACCTCGAGAAAAGTTATATTCCATAGTTTTAAACAATGTGAAACTGAAGCAACAGAATGGAGACTTATAGACTGTCTTGACGATAGATGAGGCCCACTTGTACAAGTAAGAGGGTAATCACTGAGAGACAGCGCAGCAAACTTACTGGGCAGGTCCCTTTCAAATCTAACCCATTTTACTCGCAGTCAGTAATCAGGCAATGTTGTTGAAAAGGAAATTCCCTCTGTACCAAGATACGGTTGTGTTCAGTACCGCAGTCTTGATGACTCAAGACTGCGGTACCGAACACCTGCTCCTAGGCTAAGGGACTGATTACCTCGACAAGTAAGAGATATACGTAACAGTTAGGTATCTTTATTCCGAAACGTTTCGCCTACACAGTAGGCTTGTTCAGTCGAATACGGAAGAGTTTAGCAGAAGTAGAGATGTGAAGACGATGTAATCAGTCCATCACCCTTGAAGACGTAGTTTTGAGGTAGTTAGTCCCTTAGCCTGGAGAAGAGTTTTGCTCCATAGTTTGGAACAGTGTAAAGTTTAAGCATCAGTATGGAGACTTATATACTGTCGGAAGGTGAGATACAGTTCACTAGTAGAAGAAAGAAGGTCATCACTGAGAGGTCACGTCCCTTTCAAATCCATCCCTTCTCACTTAAAAAAAAGTTGTCAAAGGTGTTTTCTGTACCAAGATACCGTTTTATTGCAGTGTCTGACAGAGTTAATATGAAAATGGTATATAATTTCCATATTCCAGTTATTGCACATGTGAATAATTCTTCAACTTGTCGCTATTATATACCATTGATGTTTGTCCGTATTGTATATCATTAATATTATATAGGAACACTGTTGACCATCAGCAACACTACACTTCATGTGTGTGCCGTAGATGTGGTGGTGCTGGTGGTGTGTTCCAAAGGTGGTGTTGTCGTAGTTGGTGGTGCTGATGATGTGGTGTGTACCGCAGGTATGGTGGTGCTTGTGACTGCAACGGTTGCGGCTCTGGTGGTACCTCTGGTCATCACCCTGGTCTATCACCTGCCTCCCTCACAGCTCCCTCAACTCTTGTAAGTTCCTCACCTCATCCTTTCCAGGACCGTAGCCTGAAATTATGAAGGCACAAAAAATGGATAATCTATAAGGTCCAGCTCGCACCCATCCCTACCCAGTCATGTACAAGTCCAGTCTATATTTAATGCTACCCAAGAGTCTTGCCCAAATGACGCTACCTGGGAGTTTGTTCTACTCATCTACAGTTGTATTATCAAACTAGTACTTCCCAATAGCCTTTCTAATTATAAATTTGTCTAACTTGAATCCATTGCTGCGAGTCCTGTCTTGCTTAGACATTCTGAGCGCATTATTTATATCTTTTATTTATTAATGTTTTCCATTTGTGCACTTCAGTCATATCATCCCTAATTCTACGTTTTGACAAAAGTGCGAAGTCAGTGCCTTCGGCCTATCGTCGCAGGAAAGGTTTCTGATACAAGGGATCAACTTCGCCAATCTTTTCTCTATATTTTCCATTCTTTAGTATAAACGCCAGAACTGAGCAGCATAATCTAAATGAGGCCTTACCAAGGATATATAAAATTCAAGGATAACCTTAGGACTTTTATTATTTATACTTCTAGATATAAAGTCTTCATATTTCAACCACCAGCTGAGGTCATTTCACAGTAGATACATAGGAATGAGGGGAGAGACCAGGTATTTCTAGGGGTTAGGAGAGTGAGCAGAATGCCTTCCCTTATTAGGGGACATTTCTGAACACTGCTTCTATATTCACCTTCACTACTGACTCACTGGTTTACCGCCTGGTGTTGATAAATTAGACACCAGAAAACATTGTGCAACTCTTGGGAATCTTTATTGGAGAGAACCCATTCCGCTACAACAGTTCTTCATCATCCATACGTAGGAGACAATTGAAGGTTACAGAGGAGAATAATAATCAAGTCCCCCAACCTTGAGTACGGATGGGTGTTCAGGGGACATCCCAAATCTCTGAATAGGGAACAAGACATCATGAGCGTACGCGGCTTCGCCTTTAAAAAAAAAACCGATATGGGCTGGAGAGCGTGAAAGAGTTAACACGTGGTGTCACTTTGTTCAATGTGGAAGTAGGTTGGGCGCGGTCTAATTAGCGACCACGAATCAAATTCCTAAAGTTGAGGTACTAATACTTGTTTTGTCCTCCTTGTTTTTTCAAGTTTTCCTTTTTCCCCAAAAATATGGACTTATTTACAGAACTTGTGTAAGCGAACGTTCTTCAATAAAGATAACATAGAGTTTAAATCTAATTTATCAATCTGATTTCTTGAACACATTCACTAAAATCGGGATTGGACGTAAATAAAATAATCGCAATGATTTTTTTAAAGAACAAGAATTAAGCCACAAGAAATAAAATTCGGCAACTCTTGGGAACGTTATAGTGGAAACATTTGGTCAACCAGCGACTCTATCAATCCGGTGAAAAACGTTACTTTAACAGATTCATTAAGCACCTCATACCCTGCCTGTGGATGGCAGTCAAAAGGTTACAGAGGCACGTAATAATAACTCCAGGGACTGAGCCTCAAAATTGTGAAAGCTAAGTGGTAATGCGAGGTGATCGGTGCCCTTCCCAAACGTCTCCATTATAGCGATACCCAATTATCATACATGAATCTTGCTTACCTCCTCGTCGGCTTCGTAAAACCATTAATAAAATAAAACTAACATGTACAGATCCAGTGAAGTGTCTGAGTATCAGCGGAGAATGATGTTAACACCGTGGTGTCGGGCGGGGCCGTGGGTGGTGGGCGTATGGGCGGCGCTGCTCCTGCACTATACAGACTCCCACAACATCAACATTCCTAAAGTTAGTTCCAAATACTTGTTTTGTAACCTCTCTATTGTTTTCTTACAGTAAGTGATCATGCCATAGACGGCTTCTCTTACTACAACAATATACCAGGACTTACTTTACTAGAATTTTTAAAGCTGAACCCGATTCATTGAAATATGACTAATGACAATATGAGTTACTAAAATCTAATTCCTATAAATCTGATTTGCTGTAACACGAGTCACTAAAATCTGATGCATTGCAGACGTATTCACTTGAGTCTATTCATTATATCGCAATCTGATTTTTTTTAAATCAGATACAAAGGAATATGAGATTGAACTTCATTCACAGTAATCATTCTCACTGTAGCTTTATAAAGTCGCCTGTAACAACACAGGGTACGTCAGTGTAAAGCAGTATTCACTGCTGGCTTAATTCTAATAAAATCCCACTTCACTTATATTGACGTTACCGTTGTATGTGTTGCTGTACAGTGTGGGGTACTGACAGGATACCTGGTGTGCACCGCTGTAGTGATGGCACTACTGGGAGGACTGTACCCCTACAACCATGTATGGCCCACTAGGCACTACACCAGGGCAGTGGCTGCCTCCTACGGTACTCTGGCCAGACCTTCCTGGGCACTCTGTATGGCCTGGATCGTCTTTACCTGCCATACCCATCACGCAGGTAGTGTTGTTGTTGTTGTTAGTGGTTCTGTTAGTGGTGCAGTTGCTAGTGGTGTAGTTGTTAGTAGTGTACTTGTTAATGATATAATTGTTAGTGGTGTTGTTAGTTGCTATGGGAATTTGTGAGATGCCCACACTGGCAATCACTGGTAACACAGATAACACAAGACCCCTTTGTCCTGTTTTCACAAGTATCCCAATGAAAACACTTCTTTAGAAAGTTAACTGCCTGACAGGAAATTCCTGCTTTTTCCCATGCACAAACTAGAACAGACTTGATGTGGAGTGACTCTACCCTAGCTAGAAATCCCATTAATCTTCCAGGCTATAATAATAATAATAATAATAATAATAATAATAATATAATAATAATAATAATATCTTCATTTACTACACGTACATGTACAGGGTATACAGTCCTAGCTGATATCAATAACATACTACTATACAGAATGCCTCTTGTTATGCAGAGCATTTCGGGCAAATTAAGTCAGTTTTGTACCAGGGTGAGACCCACACCAGTCGACTAACACCCAGGTACCCATTTTACTGAAGGGTGAACATAGACAACCGGTGTAAGGAAACACGTATGTTTCTACCCCTTCGCTGGGAATCGAACCCGCACCCCTCACCGTGTGAAGCGAGAGCTTTTGTTACCAGGCCACGGGGCACCGTGACTACTCTTTCTCCTAGATGTCACGTGCAAGAGAAAATGGTTCCTGTAAGCAGTTAATAAACATTAGTAATCCAAGTGTACACTCTATGGGTCCCTGTACTCATTAGGGTTTCCTTAGCTAACATTTATGTAAACAGGAAGATTGCTAGCTTCTGGCCTAATATTCAAGGGATGATTACTCAGCAACCCTGGCTGCTAGTTACCCTATTTTGGGCATTGATCCGCTCCTAACCGCAAACTAAACTATTCCCACATTTTCCTCCAGTAATTTCGTGGCCACCTACAGGGTAAAAAACAGAAATGAGTCTCACAAATGAGTCTGGCACAAAGACTTTATCCATGATCCATCAGGAAGACCTCTGTCTATCTTTGCTAATTGTCAGATGGAATATTTTGTAAACAGCATGATATTCTGAGTTGGGAGCTCCTAAGTTGCTGTCCCGACCATTCTTGATGCCACAACCATGAATCTGTCTTGTGAATCCCTATCTCACCTTGCTCAGAGATACTACCTTTTACAATATGACTAATCTCATTACGTAATATAACATAATATTAATATCTAAAGCTACATTATTAATTCTAATATTTATCAAAAATTCAAGCCTACCTAAACCATTCTTAATGCCTAAATCTATCATATAATGTATTAATATTAAAAATTAACTCACGTATCTAGGCAAGGTCTCCAAACTTTTCACCATGAGGGCCACATCGTATATTTTACACATTTTCGCGGACCACAGAAAAAAATTAGTCATATAAATAAATATAAACGACTGAATAAATTTTAAATGAATGAATAAGTTTTATTTGGATCCTTTGTGTAATCAACATGATACGATTCAGAACAAGAGAGAAATGTGACCATTACGGAGAAACAATACCGTTCTTAAACTGAGAAATATTACATAATGAGTAAAAATGTCAAATTAAAGCCGCTTTTCTCATCTGCATCTGAACTGCGGATGAGAAAGGCTGGCACAAGATTAATGGGAATGATGGAACTGTTTTTTTTTTAATTTCAAATATTACTGAACTGAGGTTTCAAGCTTGATGAGCCAATTATTAGAACTGACTTCACATGCTCATCAGATAAATTTATGCGATATCTGGACTTGACATACTTCATTTTTGAAAATATTTGTTCACAAAGGTACGTTGTACCAAAAACTGATACGAATCCACAAGCAAATTGCTTCAAATTTTGAAACTGTTCAGGCTGTAAAGATTTATAAAATTGAATCGGATTTCCTTCTTTATATTTATCTTTCATCATGTCATCTGATTGGAGATCAATAATTTCCATTTGAAACTGACCTGGGAATGTTTCAGCAACGCAGTTAAATGAATTTTGAAACAGCTTTATTTCATCTGGTTTTCCATCAAGATCAGAAAATCGTTTCTGAAATTGTTTTCGCAAGTCATTAATATTTCTGTTGCAAATGAAGAAGGAAATTCTCCTTCACTTTCTTCATGAATTTTATTAACAGTGGAAATGAACCAAGTTAAAAACGTTCAACTGTCCTTCAAATAGCACTAATTTTGCCCTGAATGCCTTGACATGCGTGAATAGATCACAAATCAAATTTGTTTCACCTTGCAACTTCAGTTTCAGTTGATTTATATGGCTTGTCATGTCTGCCAAAAAAAAAAAATGCCGGTTTCCAAAACCAGTCAGTGTTTGATAAAAGTGCTTTGTGTCGATGCTTCTCTGTGAGAAATGAATCAATTTCCTTTCTGAGCTGAAAGAACCGTGATAGAACCTTTTCACAACTAAGTCATAGAACCGCTGTGTAACAAGGCATGTCAGTAAACTCAGAACCAGTTTCTTTGAGAAAATCACGAAGCTTGCGATGATTAAGCCTGTGGGATCGAATGTGGATATGTCTTGCGTTCTGAAACAACAGGTTTCAGAACGCAAGACATATCCACATATTTTCCGCACAATGCTTTCTGATGGATATCGTAATACAGAAATATGGGCTTTGAGACTCTACCATCCTCACAAGCTTCTGTGATTTGTCTAATCAAACCTTTCTACACCCCAGACATATTCTTTCCTCCATCAATAGTCACGCATTGCAGTTTAATCCACTACAGGTTATATTCTATTTTTTGGGCAATTCTTTGAAGATGTTTTCTCTGGTTCCTGTACTGTGCATATTGTGCATTGATGCTAATTCTTGTGCGAAATTAAATTTATTATCGACGCCACGGATGAATACTAGTAGTTGTGATGTGTCACTCACATCATTCGAGTCATTAAGTGCAAGAGAATTAAACTGAAAATTTCGTGCTTTGTCTGCAATTTGACGAAACATATTGTTTCCTATATCCTCAGTTCTACGAGCAAGACTGAGGATTTTGAACAGATTTTGCTTTTTCTGGGCATAACTCTCCCACTGCTTCCATCATACAGTCTTGATCAGATCTCCCTCGGTGAATGGCTTTCCTCATTTAGCTAATGCATAAGCTACTTTGTAACTGACCCTTGTTAAAGCTGCATTTTCATTTCTCTTCTGCATTAAAAAACCTTGATGGGAAAGCAACCCGCGTTGCTTTCCCATCAAGGGAACATTGTGTTCCTGTGAATTGGGAATAACTTGGTTATGTTTGATCTCATAGTGCCGACGTACATTGTACTCCTTCAAAACTGCAACAGCTTCGTGACACACAAGGCTTTATCACCTGCCTGTACAAAGAAGTACTTTACGCCCCGTCCTTCATTAAACAGTCGGCATTCACTCTGTACTGTTTTTTTCTTTTTCCTTCCATAACTGAAGGGTATATCTGAAAATGAAAAGATTTGAACTAAAATTTAAACAATTTTTAACATACAAATAACAAAATACTTAACTTTAAGTGACTGCAAATGAAGGTTTATTAGTTTTACTATTTATAAATATTTCAAGTTGCTCAGTGCCGCATAAAATCTTGAGGTGGGCCGCATGTGTCTGCGGACCACAATTTTGAGACCCTTGATCTAGGGGTATGTTAGTGGACTCTAAGGGCATGATTCGACTCTTACCATCCCTGTGACCACGACCCTGAAATATCTACATACGACCTCGGCAGTGGGAGTTTATGGTACTAATAAATTTCCACAGTAATGTTGTAAGTGGTGTAGTTGTTAGTAGCATTGTTAGTGTTGTTGCTGTTGTTCTTGTTGGTGAGGGTGTTGTTGTACTACTCCAGCAGATTCACTGACACAAGAGGAGATATAAAAAATACCTGGAAAACACTTTCCCAGAATCTGGGGACCCACAAACTGAAAAAAAAACAAGAATATTGTTCTAACGAAACCTCATGAAACACCACTGCATCCCACTGATACAGCTAGCAAGATAAACGACTTCTTCTCAAACATAGGATCTAATCTCGCCAGTAAAATCCCACGTACCAATACCCATGCCGGGGACTACCTAAATGGGAATTTCCCAAATTCCTTCTGTCTTGTACCAACTGAGCCCACGGAAGTCACCGCGATCATAAAGTCACTTAAAAATAACTCAGGGAATCTGTCTCACGTCCCACCATTATTGTACAAGCGAGCGGCCCATGTCCTTTCTGTCCTTTCGCATGCTATTACATTACTTTTTAACAAGTCACTAGAAACTAGCACTTTCCCGACACTACTCAAGACAGCAAGGGTTACACCAATACATAAAGGTGGTGACCCTACAGACGTAAACAACTATAGGCCAATATCAAACTTACCATTGCTATCCAAAATCTTCGAGAAACTCGTGCACAGGAGACTATATTCATTTATAATGTCACAAAACATACTCAACCCCTGCCAATTTGGATTCAGGAAAAATAAAAGCACTAATGATGCAATTATAAAAATGCTAGACCTGCTTTATACAGCATTGGAAAATAAGGAATATCCACTAGGAATTTTTATTGACCTAAGAAAAGCGTTTGACACAGTAGACCACGGCATCCTACTCCAAAAACTTGACCACTATGGTATAAGAGGCCATGTGCTTGCATATTTTAAATCCTACCTTTCTAATAGGTATCAGTATGTCACCATTAAAGACACAGCCTCATCAATACGGCCGCTTGATACTAGAGTTCCGCAGGGAAGTGTCCTTGGACCCCTGCTCTTCCTCATTTACATCATATCCCATATCCCAACGCCTGAAACCCATTCTCTTTGCTGACGACACGACTTATGTCATCTCCCACCCTAATCTTGCCACCCTCAACATCATTATTAACGGGGAGCTGTTCAAAATATAGACTTGGATGACAGCCAACAAACTTACACTTAACACTGGCTAAACCTACTATATTATGTTTGGTAGCAGAGCAGGTGTTGCGCAACTTAACATTAAGATCGACAAAACTCTAATTGCCAGACATAATGAGGGCAAATTCCTTGGCCTATACCTCGACAACAACCTAAATTTCAGCACCCATATCCAACACATAACAAAAAAAAGTATCCAAAACGGTGGGGATCCTCTCCAAGATACGATACTATGTGCCCCAAACTGCCCTTCTCACACTATACCATTCACTTATATATCTGTATCTCACCTATGCTATCTGTGCTTGGGGTTCAACTGCAGCAACACACCTAAAGCCAATAATAACCCAACAAAAAGCCGCAGTATGAATAATCACTAAATCCCATCCCTGGCAACATATCCCCCCCCACTCTTCATAGATCTAAATTTACTCCCTGTTCAGAATATCCACACTTACTACTGTGCAGTCTATATCTACAGGACCTTAAATTCCAATATTAACCTTGACCTAAAATGCTTTCTTGATAGTTGTGACAGGATCCACAGGCATAACACCAGACACAAACATCTCTATGACATTCCACGTGTTCGACTAAACCTTTACAAAAATTCAATGTATTTCAAAGGACCTAAAATCTGGAACACCCTGCCTGAAAACTCTAGAACTGCAGACACATTCATCACTTTCAAAACTACAGTTAGAAAACATCTTATCTCCCTGATCCACCCCGACAACTAACTACATGATAACCACCTGGTGGTTCACAATTACACTCACTCACCCACTGACTATAAACCCAGATATACTAATCTTAATCTTAAAATAATAAATCCTAACTAGTCATAAGTTTGCCTATGATACTCCAATATAGACACTTTGTATTGTGCCAAAACAAAAGCATTCACATTGCTAAACTCACAAATTATGATGTAGTCGCATAGCCTTAATACCGTAATCTGTAAGGATTTAATGTTAAGAATTAATCTAAGTCTGCTCGAAATGCCTAGCCATGCTAGGTGTCCTAGTGGCCCCCTCTGTAATTAGTATTTTATAACATGTAAACCACACTATACCCAAAACCTGTAAACCCCACATTGTAACCCTTATAGAGAATAAACTTGAAACTTGAATTGAATTGTTGCACTAATAACTCATTACAGTTGTGACCGGGTGTAGACGTGTGAATGGTTCATTACTTTGTAAAATGTTCATAATTGTAACCATGTATAGATGTGTAGATGATTCATTATCTTTGTAACTTGGTCATGATTTTGACCAGATCTACCTGGAGTTCATTACCTTTGTAACTAGTTCAGCTATCAAAACTTTGGGGACCAGTCCCTGGACCCATTATGTACCTCTGTAATCTTTAGACTACCGCCCACAGGATGGGTATGTGGTGCATAATAAAGATGTTTAACTAACAATGTTGGTGTTCTTCTTGTTGAGGTGTTGTTAGTGTTCTTAGTGATGTTTTTCTTGTTATAATAACATTCATAATAATAATAATAACAATAATAATAATAATAATAATAATAATAATAATAATAATAATAATAATAATAATATATATATTATTATTATTATTATTATTATTATTATTATTATTATTATTATTATTATTATTATTATTATTATTCCCTTTAATAATGTAAAGCCCAGTGTTGGAATCTACGAAGGGATCAGTCATTTTGGATCATTTAGCGCTAGGAGTGGCGAAGGCTCTATACTCCGTCTGTTTGCTGGTGATAATCACATATAACACGTGGTCGATTGGTTGACAGAAGTGGTGAACCAGTTGTTGTCGTACGCTGCGTGGTGGCCACTGAGTCGTCTGAGTTTCACTGTGTACCTGGTGGGTCCAGTGGTCCAGGTGTGGTGTGCATCGGTCCAGCTCACACCAGTCTACTTCAACTACCTGTCAAAGGTAAGTAAGCTTATTCAAGTACAGCTACACGTAAATACAGTTACATACGTTATCACACAGAAGCAAATGTGTAAATTACCCCGGATAACCCAAAAAGCCAAATTGACTTATTTCCATTGGGATCTTTGGTATTTCCATAGGTACCTATTTCTGCGGACTGACGTAAAATTTGAGTGAGAGGGGGGGGGAGAGAGACTGTACACTTGATTCTTCAACAGTTATTTGAGTGCCTGGGAGTGCTGTTCATCTCAACAGTGCTGAGTCTTGTTCTCTGCTGCCTCCTGGAGAGGCCAATCTCCTCCCTAGCTACCGCCCTCCTACCCTACCAAGGTATGCTCTGACTCTTTTGTATTCTCAGTATGTTCTCACCGTTGTACATTGTTCACATTGTGTTCTCACCGTTGTAGTATTCATTGTGTTCTCACGTTTTTCAATGTGTGTTACATTACCATTGCACACTTAAGGTGTTTTATGTTTCTCTGACGTTTGTGAAGGAATCTTGAATCTATCTCCCCCTTTCATGGATAGAAACGCACTGAGAGCTTCGCTCATGAATATATTACAATAACGTTGCACGAAAATGGTATACAATACCGACAAGATGAAACTAGGACGCATGTGCAACATCTGGGTATCTTTATTGTAGACTTTTCGCCATTCAGTTGCTTTATCAATACAAATTCTAGGACATAATTTGAAGACAGTAGAGCTGCATACAGAAGATGAGGTAATCAGTCCCTCAGCCTTGGAGTTGGTGAGAAGAGCACCGTAGTCGTGGTGGTTCTAGAGCAGAGGCAAGGAGGTTGGCGCTTATATACTAACGTCAGGTGGAAAGGGGTCGTGTAGCAGACGAGTTCATAGTCGCTGGTAGGCGGGATTTCCCAGTGGAAGTAGATCATATCCAATAAGATGGGTTAGTTGCAGTAATAGTTGTCGTAGCCGTGAAGAACGTTATGTACATGTCCTCAGAATCAAGATTCCATGATGTCTTCAAATTATGTCCTAGAATTTGTATTGATAAAGCCACTGGATGGCGAAACGTCTACAATAAAAATACCCAGATGTTGCACATGTGTCTTAATATAATAACGTTGCAATGAGCGGACCATGATGCACTGTAACTGGATGTAACTTTATGTTACATGATATGTAATATTTGTATAATTTTTTGTGACCTAATTCGTGTCTTCATAAATAACTCATTACAATTGCTTTTTCACCCTGAACTGTGTACCTCTTCAGTACAGGAAAGACTGTGCTTAACTTAAATTGCCAGCCTTACCATCTAAAGGGGACAAAGATTCAAACTTTCCCGGGCATGGGAAAACTGGGTGCACAGCCACTCAAGAGGGAGAGGTTTTTTAGTGCCAGGGAAAGGGAAAAAAACTGGGAGGAAATGCAGAAATCGTACACCAAATCGTCTTCCGGGTGGAACCAGTGATGGCTCACTCCAAACAACAGATACAGATACTAATGCCGGAAAAAAAATCCCCCCCCCATACCAACAATACCACGTCGATAACTTCTTCTTTGAAATATAAAAAGGGTTTTAAAGCCAACAAAAAACAACAAAATAACCTTTCATCCGTGGGCTGCTTGCAGAGGCAAAGGCAATGTTCGCGGCTTTCACTGAGACCCACAAAAGGTTCACTTGGACAACGAAATATGGATCCCCGGTTACAACCTATACAGATGTGACAGAGTGAACAGGCAAAAGGGGGGGTTGGCCTGTACATTTCAGAGTCACTTGTTGCACAGAACGTAAACCTCAAATGATGTGGGAAGTTTTTGCAGTAAAGGTCGGAACCAAAACCTAGTTTTTGGGTGTCACAAGCTCCGGGGAAAAATCCCCGCAATTCCCGGGAAAAATGTTAAAAAATTTCCACTGTCTGGAAACCTTCCCCGCTCCTCACCACATCTTTTCCTGGGGGATTTCAACTTAAGGCACCCAAAAAGGGAAATATACAAATAATTTTGTTGAGTAATAACACCAGGAGGAGCCTTTAGAAAACCACACTCAGCGAGCTTTTTAAAACTCGCAAAAATTTAATTTAAAACCCGCAAATAATGAGCCTACTGATGGAGAATACACTAGACCCCACTTTACTAACAAAGATGATTGATAAGAAATATCACCCTATCAAAAACAAAATACAATTTAAACAAAATTTAGGTTCAGTCTGTATGCGCGGACCCAGCCACAAATGAATTAGTCACGAGGGACATTCACCCAAAATTTAACTTCAAAAACAAAAAAAAAAAGTGGGACCAAGTAAACCCAATCCTAACCGATAAAAGGGAAAATAACTAAGCAACAAGACCCCAACTTTTGCCCAAACAGATTTCTCGGTGGCACCGATGATGCACAAGGGTTATTCCCTAAGAAAAAGAGGATAAAGTAAAAAAAGAGACAGCGCTCCCTTTACAGGGGGACGGAAAAGAATAACAAGCGGCTAAAAAAGGGCAAAATACTGAAGCGTGGGACACGGCCCGAGAAATAGCAAGCATCGAATTAAAACTAAAAAAACCTTTTGGGTCAGGAATCGCGGGAAGAACAAAAGCCATAAAAGAAATCGAAAGAAACCCAAATATTTCTTTCCTATGCCAAATCAAAATCGAGACAAGCCGCATTGGGGCCCCTACTTAAAAACAAGAGGGGCCCTACCAATGACGCGGAAATGATGATACCAAGCCCAAATTGACTCATTTTTAGCAACCCGCTAACCAACTGAGGTCAAGAAAAAATGAATTTTTTAGAGAGAGCCACAAAATTTTTAAACACAAGCCTACCGATTTTTCCATACGCCAAAGACTTCGAACAGGCGATAAATGACATGCCCATGCACTCTCCCCCCAGGGCCAGACCAGGGAAACTCGGTTCATAAAGAACGCAAGAAGCCCCTATCACAGCCTTTTCCATCCTATGGAGGGGAGCATGGCCCGGGGGGTCGTTCCCAATTACTAAAAACAACAAAATAGCCCCACCACAAGGGGCAGAAAAGCAACGCAAAGAAACTACAACCAATACATAACACCCCAAATCAAAAAAATCTTTGAAAGGGCCCAAAAAAAACAAGTCCCACCCATCTAAAACCCATAGTTACACAACCCAGGGCAACAGGGGGTTTAGAACAGGTCGCTCCTGTCTGTTCAACTATTTTGGGCCACTACGACAAGGTCCTAAATGCACTAGAAACAAAAAGAATGCAGAGTAATATATACAGACTTTGCAAAAGCCTTTGACAATGTGACCCTGGCGTAATAGCGCACAAAATGCTGCTAAAAGGGAAAAACAAAAACGGGCGATGGGGTCTATAATTTCCTCACTAAAGAACACAAGAAGTCGTCAAAGAGTAAAGTCCGAGGCAGCTACGGTGAAAAGCTCGTTCCACAAAGGGACAGTACTCGTCCATCTTGTTCCCATCCTTTATCCGACATAGACAGGGTTTTAGCCCCAGCACCGTGTCTTCCTTTGCAGATGACCCCCCAATCTGCATGACAGGTCTTCCATTGCAACACTGCAAAGCTCCGGGCAGACATCAACCAAATCTTTCATGGGGGGAAAACAATATAAATTTAAACGATGAAAATTTCAATTACTCAGATATGGTAAACGGGGAAATTAAATCTTCATCAGAGACAAATCAAAATTGGCCAAAAAATAGAGCAAAACACCAACGTAAAAGACCGGGAGTGATCAGTGGGAGGATCTCACTTCAAGGACCATAAAATTGTATCAATCGAAATCTGCTAGAAAAATGAAGGATGGATAAGGGGAAAACCTTAAAAATAGGGACCCAAAACCCATGATACCCCTTTTGGGTCACTTGTTCTATCTAGGGAATATTTTGCACCTAACAGCCCCTTTCAAGGAAGTGAAATTGCCGACCTAGAAAAATGTACAGAGAACTTTAGGGCGCGCAACGGAGTAAAACACCCAATTTTTGGGGAGCGTTTGGGGTTCCTAAACCTTTATTCCCTGGAAGCAGGGGGGAAGATACATGATTATATCCCTGGAAAAAACCCAGAGGGACATACCCAAATTGCACACGAAAATCCTCACTAGAAAGCAAAAGACTTGCAACGATGCACCCTCCCCCCAATGAAAAGCAGGGGTGTCACTAGCACGTTTTAAAAGACCCTACAAAAAGTGTCAGGGGCCCGAGAAGTTCAACTCCCCCCAGCAACATAAAAGGGGGGTTCCAACAACCCCCGGGAGTCTTCAACTGGACTGGACAAACACCTAAAGTCAGTTCCGGATCGCCGGGGTGTGCTCGTATTTGGTTTGCGTGCGCCACAGCAACGCCTGGTTTATCAGGCTCGATCCACCCGGAGGGCCCGTCCAACCGGGCCCGGGGGCGTTGCCCCCCGGAATTCTCCGGTAAATCCGGGAAACATATTAACCCGTAAATATTCATTAACACTGTAACTTTTTTGCTATAAAAAGTTTGTGGCCCCAGTCCCTGGACTCACATGTGCCACCCAAAAACCGGGGGTATGGGGGTTAATAGGTATTAAACTAATTTTGATTTTTTGAAAGGTGGGGTGGGGGCGTAAAACCTGGGCCCCGGTAACTTACCAAGGGTGGAGAGTGAACCCAACCCAAAAACCACTCAAACCACACCCAATTTAGTCATCACCCCCAACCAAATCAACACCACACCATTTACTAAGATAAGATTTTTTTAGGACTTTTAATCTGGAGTTTTAGCCAACAGATAACCCAAAAAAAAGTAAGCGTATCGAGAGCTGCCTGCTTTTTTCCCTTAAGGTCTTCAGTCTTGTCAACCAGGGCGACCCACCCATCGACAACACTCGGTACCCTCTTTTTTGCTAGGTGAACCGGACGACAGATGTAAAAAAACCCCCCCAAAAGTTTCCAAACCTTGCGGGGGATCGAACCACAGACCCCAAACATGTGAAGAGAGGCGTTGTACCAAGCCAGGGGGGCCCACCCCACACATAATGACCCCCACAGTTATTTATGTCACCACCATCCCACTATCAATATCCACCCACACATTTTATCACTACCACCACACCTAAACTACCACCACAACCAGTTTTCTCTCATAAAACGTAGTTATCATTGTCCCCCCTTTCTAGCGATTTTAAAAATAGAATAAACCAAAAAAAGTAAAGAGAGAGGAGAGAGTAGGTACAGTTTTTTGATACAGTGAGGTTAAATTTATAAAACCCGTGTATCTAACTTACAAAAATGGCTCATATATTGCCTTTGCACTAAAATTTTGCAAAATAGTAAAATTAAGAGACTTGAAAACCCCAAAAAGGGAAACAATCGTAAATTTTCCTGGGTAAAACTAAAAAAGAGAAAAAATTT